TACATCTCTCGGCGAATCTAAAAGAAAAGGGAAAAATGTTAATTTGGTGTTAAGTTTGCGTAATTTCTCAGCTAGCCACGCTAAAAGGTATCCCTTTTTTATATTTATGCATATATATTTCATTTCTTGCCTTCGCCTGTTGCTGCGTTTAGCACGGATACGGCCGAGTCGTGGCGCTTCGCTAACACGGATCTAATACCCGCCACGGGCATAATGGTGTTTGGTGAGTAGCTACGCATTAAAATGCTGCGCATTATGCAGCAGCGGGGATAAACCGCGACTTGATTGCGGCTAAGCCAGGCTAAGGAGTCAAGACTGAAGAAAGAAGAAGAAACAATTAAATTGCATTTGTCACGCTCAATGTCAGCTCTAACATACCTCTCTCTCTCTCTCTCTCTGTCTCTCTCTCTTTCGCTCTCCCTCTCTGTTTAGCTTTCATGTGTCATCACAACACATTTCTCGTTTATCAATCGATGCGAGAGGCGACCATGGAACGCTGGGAGAAGGTCACCCACATCTCGATTGGATTTGCCTGGACTGTGGCAGCGCTCTTCGGCATCGCGGGCTACTCAACATTCCGCGCCCTCTCCCAGGGTAAACTAATTGACAATTACGCTCGCATTTAATGGCATTTTCTGGTCTCTTATTTTGCCTCCTCCATCGTCCTCTTTTTAGAGCGCTGTTAAAGCGCCATTTTAATCTGTTGCCCTGGTCATATTGCTGGTCATATAATCTATGCTCTGCTTCGTTTCTCTATTGCAGGCGATTTACTCGAGAACTATTGCTGGGATGATGACTTAATGAATTTCTCGCGTGTGCTCTTCTCCATATCCATACTGCTGACGTTTCCCATCGAGTGTTTCGTTTCACGAGAGGTAGGTGGGCTATTCGTTGTCTTTGGCAAGTTAGCAGTGATAGAAGCGACTGAGGAAATAGTTGGATAGTTTTTAAGGAGTGCTATAACTCGAACATTGTTTAATGGTGTTAGAAGAAGAAGAAGTTATATATTAATTAAGAAACCTTGCCAACTTGACATTTACAGAGTATCCGTTAGTTATGCATTCCCACATGTTTCATACCCTTGAGATAGTTTCTGTAATGCTTAGCACTTTATTTGGACCATCTGCTGCTGGGTGGGTCATTCTGGCCAAGTTGTTTTGCCACATAGATTACATTTTGGATTTCGTGCCACACAGTTGCTGCTGCTGTTGTTGTTGTGGTTGTTGTTGTTGTTGTTGTTGCACATCTTTGATATACTGCATAGATTCACACAGATTGTTGTTGCAACATTGCAGATTGTGCGCGCTCTGGTGCATCGGTTCGTGCTGAAGGAGCCCATCAGTGAGTTCACCCAGGACAAGGATCCCAGCTTGGAGAAGGGCGCCGAAATTGATGAGTATTCGAAAGCGATTACCTTGGCCATTGTGTTCAGCGCATTCATAATATCGCCCATGACCGACTGCCTGGGCTCCGTTTTGGAATTGAATGTGAGTTTGATTCACACACACACAAACACACTGTACGCTAAATATCAACTGAGTTTTCAAGAACTTTTTTTTTCTCTTTTTCTATATACTTATATATATTCACTTATGCCACTTAGGGTCTTCTGGCAGCTATACCCCTGGCCTACATATTGCCCGGTCTGGCCTACATTCAAATGGAGCCGCATGCCCTCTTCAGTCGCGAGAAGCTGCCAGCCCTGGGCCTGGTCGTGTTTGGCGCCTTGGTCACCATACTGGGCGCTGCGGTGCTGCTGCCCGGCCTAATGGGCGGCGATTGTCGTTCAGATATCGTGATGGGCTACTGCCGGCAGGAGTACCAAAATACCACCTCCCAGGTGGCACCAAATTGAACAAGCCGACAGCAGCAGCAGCAGCAGCAGGTGGAGCAGCGGTCGCAGTCAAGCCAAAAAGTCATTAGTTAAGTCATAAGCATTGGCAATACATTTGCATTGATGTGGGCTATTTCCGGTTTTGTGGATTGCAGATTTCCTTTGAAGTTCAAGTTCATTTTCTTCCGTTTTGCCTTTGGCTATGTTAGTTATTAAATATTTTTTTCTTTTTAGCTTAACCTTATATGAGTCTTGCAGAGCTGAGTGTATAAATGGGATGGACAGTTGCTTGATGAGGATTTATTTATATATTTCAGAAGAATGTCTGTAAAGTCTGCTTTGCTATATGTCTGCTGAGTTTTTTTTTTATGAAAAGTCTGGAGTAAAGTTCTAAAGATATTGAAAGAATATATTTAGGTATGAGCCAGATTTAATATTATTTTGCTTTGAGATTTACTCTTTGAATTCTCCATTAATTTTCATTAATTTTGTCTAGATCTAATTTGATATACATATAGATAGATAGATAGATTAAATAGATTTTTTGATCTTTGATCTTTTATCCATCCATACTATAATCTACCTGATTCTCTCTCTGCAAGAGTATTCCAACTTCGGCTCGTCGTAGTTCTATATAACGTTGCTTTACCTATATGTTTTCTAAAAATGATTTGCTTCCAACTGCACTTCAATGTTAGTTCTCAATAAGAATTATGTTATATAATATTATGTATGTATATTTCGTATAGGGGCTAAACGAATACTTGTACCTGAGTCTCTGATCTTCGAAAGTATCTCAAACTGTGTTGTAGTATCTGTGTAACTGTGTGTATGTGCGTGTGTGCGTGTGCTGTTCGAGGCAAGTGATACGAACGATTTGAAAACCTGAATCTCAGTACAAAACAGAAAGTTGTTATTACATATATACTATATATATTCCCCCATATATATGTATTACATAGCAAAGCTCTATTTACAACAAAATTGATTTTGGCTTTTTGGTTTTTTTGTTTTGGGAAATGAGAAGGGCAAAATAGCAGAAAAACAAGTTGAGAAAATCAAACAAAAAAATTGTAGTGCAAGTTCCTTAGCAGTCGGTGTAAAATGCATGCAAAATTTTTCGAATAGTTGTTATTGTAATTACCAAAAAATTAAGAAAAGAAAGTAGCACTAGCGTAGTCTGAAAATATTTGGGCACCAATATACACACACAACATACAAACAAAAGCGAAAACTTTAAGGACAAACAAAGAAATGGAATCCATATATATACTATATATATGTATATGTATATCAAAAGCAACAGATCAACTATTTGTAACTATCTATTTATGGCAAAAATCAAAGTTATCGAACCGAATCAAATCGTATTTAAACGTTTTATATATATGTATACAAATCGTAGAGAATTCGCTTCAGCTCCAAAAATGTGACTAAAGCTTGAACAACTTTTTTAACTACACTCAATGGACACAAATGAAACAGGCAACATACAACATATAACATGCCACATGCCACATGCCACATGCAGCATGCAACATTCAACACATTCGGCATTATACAAACTACATCATATGAAACTAGTTCAGCTTTATATTCCATCTACTTTGATATGAAACAACACTTTTTAGTTGTTTGAACAAATGGCACTGATTATATTTTGCATAAATTGTATTCTTATGTATTTTACACACTTTGCTCTCTATTTTTGTAAGTATTTCCATTGAGTTGTTACAAAGCACGATATATATTATTAAATGATATATATATACATTATGTAAATACATATATATTTGTATGTAATTTTTGATATGATTAAAGAGATTTATACCGCATATTGAACACAATATATATATACTGACACAATGCTCACTCTTCTTACTGGTTCTGGGTACCAAGCGTTGATTCTCTATTCTGTTTCATCTATAAGAACCAAGAGAACAAAACCCAACTTACTTCTATCCTAAGAGCTTATACAACACAACATATCATGCAACTCGAAACAAATGGCCAAACCAAAGGAGCACAGGACATTTTCAAGGGCTTTTCTAAGATACTTTTTACAAGAACTTACGCTTTTACATAACAACAACAACAACAACAACAAACTACAACTACAAGAACAACATGAGACAACTGAAACAACACTTGTATATACACTATTATATAGAGCTGTCTATATCTATCTATATATATACATAATATTCACCTCTTTATATATCTTACACAGTTTCAAAGATATGTATTATTATGAAGAAACAGGGGGAAGAAATCAGAAGAGAGGGAGAAAAAAAAAACATAGTAAGATTAAGAGAGAGAAGGGTTAGAAAAATGAGATCGGGAGAAGGCGTGCTTGTGTGAGAGATGAGACAGAGAGAGAGAGAGAGTAAGGTAGGTATGTAGAACCAGAAAGAGTCTCCCTCTCTCTCTCCCTCTCTCATTTGATCTGTGGAACTTCTTGGCAATTCTAGGGAAACATTACTTTTATCTGACATGTATGTATAAGTATAAATAAATATATAATTTAAACAAGTTGTTGATCTTCAAAATATATATATGTATATGTATACAGATATCATAAAAATTGTGCATGTAGTTCAATAATTATTTAGTATCGATGTATTTATGAAAGCGCCGAGCGTAGAATTTGTTGCAATATACTATATATACAGACATATATATATACGAATATATATATATATATAGAGAAAAGGAATATATAGTACAGATAATTTATATACATACAAAACTACAAAATGAATAATCAAATTTCACTCAAATTAGTATATACATATATATGTGTAAACATAATTATAATAAAAGAATGAAAAACAAACAACATTAAGGAATGTATTTTAGAAATTTCAAATTAAAAGAAAACAAAAACAAACTGAAATTATAGAAATTTTGCGGTTTTCCATGCACAGCTGCAGCTCGTTGCCTTATCAGCTGCTATCAGTGCCTTTCCTTTGGACACCACAAACTATGCCGTTTTGCAGCGCCTTCTTTTGGGCAGGGTCTGTGGTTAGAGATAGCAGAGAGCGCGAGAGAGTGCAGAGCTATAAAAGGCACAGTTGACCTCCGGATAGTTACAGTTGCAAAGTGCGACAAGTGCTTAGTACATCAATTCCTTTTGGGACTCTCTCTCTCGACTCTCGACAAGCTCCAGCTCCAGCTCCAGCTCTCTCTAATCCTGTGCAATGGCCGACACTCAGAATCTACTGCTGCTGTTCGAGCACCCCACCGAGCCCGTCTTCATGGACAAGGGCAAGAAGGTGACCGTGTTCGATGTGCCCGATAGCTACCTGACCGATCGCTACCGGCCGATCAGCAACGAGGTGCAGAGCCGTGTCGGCGAGAAGGTGGAGCAGCGTGTGCCCGTCCGAGAGATCTCGATCCCGGATCTGCGCATACCCATGTCACTGGGCCGCGAGGAGCAGTTCTCGCTGTTCATACCGAAGCACCGTCGCATCGCTGGCCGCCTCATCGACATCTTTGTGAACATGCGCAGCGTCGACGATCTGCAGAGCGTGGCGGTCTATGCTCGCGATCGTGTCAATCCCGTGATGTTCAACTATGCACTCTCTGTCGCACTGCTGCATCGGCCCGACACCCAGGGACTGGATCTGCCCTCGTTCGCCCAGTCGTTCCCCGATCGCTTCGTCGACTCGCAGGTGTTCCGTGAGCTGCGCGAGGAGTCCTTTGTGGTGCAGCCCGGCTCTCGCATGCCCATCGTCATACCCCGGGACTATACGGCCTCCGATCTGGAGCCGGAGCATCGCCTGTGGTATTTCCGCGAGGATCTCGGCGTCAATCTTCACCACTGGCATTGGCATTTGGTCTACCCCTTCGAGGCCTCCGATCGCAGCATTGTGGCCAAGGATCGCCGCGGCGAGCTCTTCTACTACATGCACGAGCAGATAATGGCGCGCTACAACATGGAGCGCTTCAGCAACAGCCTGGCCCGCACGCAGCCCTTCAACAACCTGCGCGAGCCCATTGCCGAGGGCTACTTCCCCAAGATGGACTCGCTCGTGTCCAGCCGCGCCTGGCCGCCGCGCTTCGACAATACGCGCCTGGGCGATCTGAATCGCGAACAGGATCAAATCAATCTGGAGGTGGCCGATCTGGAGCGCTGGCGCGATCGCATCTACGAGGCCATTCATCAGGGCTTCGTCATGGATGTGAGTAGCAAATGAAGCCACAAATGGGGCAATTCCTTATAGCTACTTTGTATTTTTTAGGAGCGTGGACAGCGCGTGGAACTGGACGAGACCCGAGGCATTGATATCCTGGGCAACATACTGGAGTCCTCCATTCTGTCGCCCAATCGCACTTTGGTAAGCCTTATAGAGCACTCTATCATGTCTATGGCCTTACTATACTCGGTATACCCTGTAATTTCAGTATGGTGATCTGCACAACTTTGGCCACGTCTTCATCTCCTACTCCCACGACACGAACAACAAGCATCTGGAGTCCTTCGGCGTCATTGGCGACTCCTCCACGGCCATGCGCGATCCGGCCTTCTACAGGTGGCACGCCTACATCGATCGCATCTTCCAGGAGCACAAAACCCGGCTGCCCGCCTACACGGACACGCAGCTCAACTACTCGGGCATCTCCATCACTGGCGTCCAGGTGGCCTCCAATGGCGGCCAGCCCAATGTGCTGACCACCTTCTGGCAGCAGTCCGACATGGATTTGTCGCGCGGCTTCGACTTCACGCCACGCGGCAATGTCTTCGCTCGCTTCACCCACTTGACCCACACGCCCTTCACCTACACGATCAACGTGAACAATGACGGCGGTGCCCAGCGCTTCGGCTATGTGCGCATCTTCATGGCCCCCAAGAACGATGAGCGTGGCCAGCCCATGCTGTTGCGCGAGCAGCGCCTGATGATGGTGGAGCTGGACAAGTTTGTGGTCTCACTGAACCCGGGACCGAACACCATACGCCGCCGCTCGACAGAGTCCAGTGTGACGATCCCGTTCGAGCGCACCTTCCGCAATCTGGACGCCAATCGCCCCGCAGCCGGCTCACCCGAGGAGCTGGAGTTCAACTTCTGCGGCTGCGGCTGGCCCAACCACATGCTCATCGCCAAGGGCCTGCCCGAGGGTCTGCGCTGCGATCTGTTCGTCATGGTCTCCAACTATGAGAACGACAGGGTGAGCGTCTGAGTTAGCTCCACCTTAAAGGACAACTAAACTGAAATCCCCGATTTTCCCTTTTTTTCAGATCGACCAGCAGCTGGTGGGCCGCTGCAGCGATGCTGCTAGCTACTGCGGCGTGCGCGATCGCCTCTATCCCGATCGCCAGTCCATGGGCTATCCCTTCGATCGTCTGCCGCGCGCTGGCGCCGATCGCCTGGTCAACTTCCTGACGCCCAACATGAGCATCGTGGACGTCAGCATTCGCCACGAGAATCGCGTGGTCACTCGACAGGCCTAAATTGAACCCACATCTAGCTGACGACGTTAACGCAACGACCTTGCCTCGCTGACACTGACGAATACATACATAAGTTACAGTAATAGACTATATTGCATCTTGATTGAGCTCATAATAAACGCATCACGGCATTTAAAGAAAACAATACAATGGCTACTATATAGTCCATTCATTTAATACCAGAGACGGTGGCCTTAAGCGCGCATTGCGATTGCGCTTATCAGCTGCGGCGTGTGCTATTGATAGATCCCAGCAGCTTCTTCCACACAGCTCGAATCTCTATGGCGCTCTATGGCGCTTATAATCGGGCCGCTGTCGCCTCAGTGGCTCAGTTGCGAACGCACCGTCGAGTGGTGCAAAACTTAAAGTGCTTCCTCAAACCAAATCGATGGCTCAGGCTCTGTCACTGCTGCTGCTGCTGCTGCTGATAGCAGCCATTGGCGTAAGCATAATCAGCATAAAAGACAATATATTCTAAACAAACGGGAATTTTTTGCGATTGCTGCGCAATTATCTGATTAGAATAGAAATGAAAAGCCGAACAGTCTATAGTTATAGTTGTGAACTCTGTACAAAACGTGAAAACAAAGTGAACTTAAACAAATTAGGAAAATGTTTAAGAGAGATGTTCAGCCGGCTGATTAAGCATCGATGATTATCGATTGTGAAACGAAAACGAAGAGACTCTAAATGTAAACTTATATAATATTCCACACCACTCCTTATCTAAAAGTATTGGTTTATATATTTATAGACTACTTACTCATTCTGTCATATAAGCCAAGCTTTTATACACCTAATATTTAGCCCTTCGCTCGTTAGAGATTGACACACTTAGTCATACATAATATTAAATCCATATATTATATATCTATAGCGCTTATCAATTTCAGCTCAGGCTACATAGATTATAAACAGGCGACAAACAATTCAGCTCAAATTCATTCTCTCTGGCGCTGATGAGCTTCTATAGGAAAATGTACATAAGATTTACCAAGCCAGATAGCAGTAGTAGATATCTGGATATATCTAGCAAATATATATATAATATATTTTTGCATACTTCTATCTATATCTGTTATACGAATAGCGGATTTGATATACAAATGAATTTTTGCATACTTCCATAAATGGAACTACCCCAATATAATCCTCATCAGTTTCGGTAAAGACCTTTCAATATAGAAAGCCACTAGAGCTACAGATAACTGTTCCGATATCCATGATATGATCATAAGTGTGAGGTCTCAGGAAACACTCATAGTAGTAGACAGTTCATTAATCTTAATACCCTTTCAATATTTAAATTTCGGGCATATAAACAGAGAGTTTGATGAAAATTTTCATTATACTCCCACTTGACTACATATTAATTATTTGCTCTAGCTAAAAATATGAAAATTTTAGGGATTCATAAGAGTCTAACATCAAAAACTGATTTACCGCTTCAGCTACCGCCTAGGGTATACGCATACAGAGAAACTAAAGTCTGTCTCTCTCTTCCCACTCTTTCTCACACACTCTCTCTCTTTCTCTCTGTCTCTCTTTCTCTCTGTCTCTCTTTCACCGACCTTAGTGGACAACGGCTGCCGTCAGCTCGAGCTACGATCGGCAGGCCAAGACGTTCGTGGATCAGTCGAGCGAGCGCTACTTCAAGCTCTACCAACAAATCGCCTCGGAGACATACTCAGCCAACGATGAGGAGGATTTCGAGGCGCTCTTCTCCAAGCTGACCAACGTGAAGCGCATCGCCGACGAGCTGGTGGGCATCTCGCGTGAGGCGAGCAACTTTGACCTGGGCAAAGTGAACGATGCGGAGCTGAAGCTGGCGCTGCAGGAGCTGCGCACCGTGGGTGATCTGTTCGTGCTGGGCGAGGATTATTTCTCGTCGGTGCAAATGAATCTGGCTGCGTTGCAGAAAATGTCCACGGACAAGGACATTGAGCCGTATCTGGGTGGTGCCAAGATGCCCAACGAGGACGACAGCCCGCTGGCCTACTATCCGGACATCCAGAAGATTGTGCAGCGCAGCAACGATGTGGACGAGCTCAAGTACTACTGGGAGACGTGGCGCGACAAGAACCAAATCTGGGCCTCGGTCAACTTTTACACGATTGTGCAGTCGTACCAGAAGGCAGCCCAGATACTGGAGATACCGGTGCATCAGCTGTGGTATCGCTACGACAGCCAGGAGATGCTGCAGCAAATGGAGCAGGCCATGGCGGAGCTGCGGCCCGCCTATCAGCAGCTGCACGCGTTTGTGCGCCAGGAGCTGCACAAGAAATACGGCAGCGATGTGGTCAACGCCAATGGCCCCATTCCTGACCATCTGTTCCAGCAGGTGCTCGAGCAGGCCTGGGAGGAGGGCAGCATCATTGAGTCCTACTTCCCTCGCAAGGATCTGCCCCAATACGACGAGTTCGTCAAGCATCTGAGTGCCAAGGCGCTCGTCAACGAATCCGAGAGTTTCTATACTTCCCTGGGCTTTGCACCACTCAGCGCTGAGTTCCACAAGAATCAGCTCAAGGAGCCAAACGAAGACACACCCGACGACGACTGCCGCCCCTCGCTCTTCGACCTGACCCCGCACGTCTACATGATGTACTGCGAAAAGGTTAGCTTCAGGAAGTTGATGCAATACCATGCGCTTATGGGCCGGGTTTACTATGCCGAGCAGAAGAAGGCGCTGCCCTCGTACTACTTCAAGGCCTACAACCTGGAATATCCCGTGGGTGAGGCTGTGGTGCTCTCTGCCTCCTCGCCCACTCACCTGACGGGCCGTGGCCTGGCCAAGGGCGTGCAGTTCACGGAGCAAACGTTGATGAATCGTCTGTTTAGAATGGTGAGTCGTAGTGAAATCCTCAGATTTATTCTAGTTTTGAGTGAAAGAAGTTAAACCGTATCTAATTCTATATAGAGAGATGTCTTAACCCTTCTCTGCATACTGAAGAGTTATTCCCTACTTTAATCTGCTGTAATACAGATTAGTTAATCCCTCCTTAAATCTCCTCTCCCAGGGCATTCATACGGTACTCAACATTCCGCTCTACTATGTGCATACGAAAGTGATGCATGATCTACTCAATGGCACCGTCGATATGGATACAGTGAACAAACACTACTGGCGACTGCTGGAGCAGCATGCGGGCATTGAGCCGCCCACGGATCGGCCAGAGGGCGCCATCGACTTCCCATACAAGTTCTACGTAAACATCGAGCAGAACTATCAAACCAAGTGAGTTCTATACATCAACAACTATTACAATATATATCATATATATATCTAATATATATCTAATATCATCATAAATTTATATTTCCCTTAGGAAATTCATTTCGGAAATCCTGGGCTATCAGTTCTATCGTTCGCTCTGCCAACAGACCAACCATCGCGGACAGCTGCACAATTGCGATTTCTATGGCAACTTCGCTGTGGGCAACAGTCTTAAGTGAGTTTACAAAATTTCTATTTTGACTTTTATAAATTCATTCTAAATTATTATTTATATTGTATATTTTAGAGCCATGATGTCCCTGGGCTCCACAAAGCCTTGGCGTGAGGTTGTTGGCAAAATATTGCCCAAAGGCACGGGCCTGAGCAGTCTGGCTCTATTGGAGTACTATCAGCCTATTGTGAACTGGATTGAAACGCACAACAAACAGACGAAAGCTAAGATTGGCTGGAATTCTACAGAAAAAAGTAAGTTGGGGCTTTTCAAATATATACAATTAATTATTAAAATTTAAATATTTACTTACAGAGGTCGTTTAGAGGCACTTTTGATGTTTGCATTAAAACTATTTATAAGCATTTGCTTGAACTCAATAAAAACTTGTTATATATATTCAAATAATACTTTCAAATAATAACGAGCTTTTGGATGGTGCTGGGCAGCACTGTTAATGAAACAAATGAACGAACTAGTTCCGTTTGCTGTTGTTATCTCGCTTGGTCTTGAGTAAATGTTAGGCGCGCTTAAGCTGCGTGCGAGTTATGTGTTGGAGCGAGACAACTATATAGTCGCGAGTGTGGCGCCAAGACATGAAATTCAAATTTCGAACAGAGCGAGTTTGTTAAGGAAAAACTTAAATTAATTGAGTGGAAGTACTATATAAATAGTCCAATATTAAATAAATAAATTCAGAAAAATTATAATACATTTGAAAAAATAAAAATGATTTAGAATACAAATAATAATTAAAATGGAATATATTTTATCAACATCAAAAAGAATTTTAAAAAATTTAAATATATATAAAATATAAGTATAATAATATAAATATTACTATTAGCAATAAACATAGTGTAAAATAATACTATTATATCTTGTGCAGTTCAGTTGTAACATTTTATCATCTTTTTTTTTCTCAGTGTAGCCTTGGCTAACACCAATTTCAAAGCTTGCCTAAGAACAATTAGCCAGCTGCCCAGGCGATTACCACAAAAGATTTGTCCACAAAAATAAGCGACGTTCGATTTGTCTATGATTTTGTGGCATTTGCCAAGCGGCTGTCAGTCAGCCGAATAATCTGTTCCGGCCATTTGCCATTTGCCATTTGCCATTTGCCAGCTGCACAGCTTTCAATGCACTTTGCTTGAACTGTCGAAGGGGCCAAGGCAGAGCAGGGCGGGGCTGTGCAACCTCTAAGCGCAGCAGCCCTAAAGTGTCGCAATGTTTAGTCCCAGCTGTTGCAGCAGTTGAAGCTCAACGAAGCGCAGCTTTATGCGTGGCTTATTCTACGCTTGATTGCCACATCCACATCCGAATTCAAACTCGAATTCGAATCCGAGACGTCTGCATTAGTTTCCTCTCTTTCTCTCTAGCTGGCGGGGATTAGTGTCTGCCCAGTGGCTGCCTGGCATTATGTCAAAGCCGGACTTTACAAGAGACGCTTCACTTGCCACACACACACACATACACATCACTTGCTGAAAGGTCAGCGATTCTGGTCTGGCTGATGGTCACTAGCCACGACGCAGCTGAAGAAACGAGCTCTGTCGCAACTGCAACAAGGTCGTCCATTTATATGCCTGGCTGCAGCTCGTTCCGTCCGACCCAGCTGGGTCTTTCACTCTCAATTTCGATTTCCAATTGTTCGGGCCCCACCAGCTCGAGTGGGCGGCATTTGTTAAATAGCTTTTGGGTAAACGATTGCATTGCGTGCCGCCCGCTGCTAATTGCGTCCGAATTGCACTCGATGCTTGGCCATGAAATGAAGTTATTACCAGCTGCTGCTGCTGCTGTTGCTGCTGGTAACTTTGACATGGCACGGAGCCGGACGTGAACTTCCAAGCTGTAGCAAAAGTTGAAGTTGAGTGAAAGGCACCCACGCCATACCCATACCCAGCTCCAGCTCCAGCGCCATCCACATTGTCGTCATCGCGATCTTTATTCGGCTTTGCTGAATGCCTCTTTATGCAAAATACTCAAAATGCCCCACAAACTAAAGAAAAGCAACAACAACAATAGCAACAACAACAGCACCAAATCACAGACAGAAAAAAAAAGGGAAAACAAGTTAAATGAAATTTACATGCGGCTGTCAGCCAATTTGGTTGAACTTTTTTAAATTGCCGCCTGCCCATCAACAAATGCATTAACATTAACCCAAAAATTCGTCTCAACTAGCGCCATCTCACTCGCCACAGTTGCAGCCATCCCGCTCGCGATGCGAATTTTTGTTTACACATTCAAGCGGCGCACTTGAAGCCAAATATTTTCTCACTGCTTTCGCACAAAAGGAAACCAAACGAAATGAAATGACGACGAAGAAGACGACGACGACGACGACGGCGTTGGCGAGCTAAATAATAATCCACAATCTGACAAATGGGATTAGCATATATGCAGATATATCTCTAGCGTGTGAGATAGAGATGGAAAGAGAGAGAGAGGTGGAGAGAAAAAAACTAAGCAAATAATAAACAATGAACAAAACTTTAGCTGCGTTTAGCCTACGTTAAATGAATTCATTTGCACGTTTTAATAAACTAAATGCATACATTTTTGAGATTTGTTTACTTTTTAATTAAAGATAGGAATTTCTGGAAACATCTATTTATTTTATTATATTATA